TAGCTAAGCCCCTCTGCTCAGCATGAGCAGAGAGATGGGGTGGCTCCTGTGTCCACCTGACACCCCCACACCCCAGCAGAGGAGAGGAGTTCACAACCAAAATGTGGGTTCTCAGCTGAGGAAGCCACTAGCTAAGCCCCTCTGCTCAGCATGAGCAGAGAGATGGGGTGGCTCCTGTGTCCACCTGACACCCCCACACCCCAGCAGAGGAGAGGAGTTCACAACCAAAATGTGGGTTCTCAGCTGAGGAAGCCACTAGCTAAGCCCCTCTGCTCAGCATGAGCAGAGAGATGGGGTGGCTCCTGTGTCCACCTGACACCCCCACACCCCAGCAGAGGAGAGGAGTTCACAACCAAAATGTGGGTTCTCAGCTGAGGAAGCCACTAGCTAAGCCCCTCTGCTCAGCATGAGCAGAGAGATGGGGTGGCTCCTGTGTCCACCTGACACCCCCACACCCCAGCAGAGGAGAGGAGTTCACAACCAAAATGTGGGTTCTCAGCTGAGGAAGCCACTAGCTAAGCCCCTCTGCTCAGCATGAGCAGAGAGATGGGGTGGCTCCTGTGTCCACCTGACACCCCCACACCCCAGCAGAGGAGAGGAGTTCACAACCAAAATGTGGGTTCTCAGCTGAGGAAGCCACTAGCTAAGCCCCTCTGCTCAGCATGAGCAGAGAGATGGGGTGGCTCCTGTGTCCACCTGACACCCCCACACCCCAGCAGAGGAGAGGAGTTCACAACCAAAATGTGGGTTCTCAGCTGAGGAAGCCACTAGCTAAGCCCCTCTGCTCAGCATGAGCAGAGAGATGGGGTGGCTCCTGTGTCCACCTGACACCCCCACACCCCAGCAGAGGAGAGGAGTTCACAACCAAAATGTGGGTTCTCAGCTGAGGAAGCCACTAGCTAAGCCCCTCTGCTCAGCATGAGCAGAGAGATGGGGTGGCTCCTGTGTCCACCTGACACCCCCACACCCCAGCAGAGGAGAGGAGTTCACAACCAAAATGTGGGTTCTCAGCTGAGGAAGCCACTAGCTAAGCCCCTCTGCTCAGCATGAGCAGAGAGATGGGGTGGCTCCTGTGTCCACCTGACACCCCCACACCCCAGCAGAGGAGAGGAGTTCACAACCAAAATGTGGGTTCTCAGCTGAGGAAGCCACTAGCTAAGCCCCTCTGCTCAGCATGAGCAGAGAGATGGGGTGGCTCCTGTGTCCACCTGACACCCCCACACCCCAGCAGAGGAGAGGAGTTCACAACCAAAATGTGGGTTCTCAGCTGAGGAAGCCACTAGCTAAGCCCCTCTGCTCAGCATGAGCAGAGAGATGGGGTGGCTCCTGTGTCCACCTGACACCCCCACACCCCAGCAGAGGAGAGGAGTTCACAACCAAAATGTGGGTTCTCAGCTGAGGAAGCCACTAGCTAAGCCCCTCTGCTCAGCATGAGCAGAGAAAGGGGTGGCTTAGAGTCCTGTGTCCACCTGACACTCCCACACCCCAGCAGAGGAGAGGAGTTCACAACCAAAATGTGGGTTCTCAGCTGAGGAAGCCACTAGCTAAGCCCCTCTGCTCAGCATGAGCAGAGAGACGGGGTGCATCAGAGTCCTGAGTCCACCTGACACCCCCACACCCCAGCAGAGGAGAGGAGTTCACAACCAAAATGTGGTTTCTCAGCCAAGGAACCCACTAGCTAAGCCCCTCTGCTGAGCATGAGCAGAGAGATGGGGTTTCTCAGAGTTCTGTGTCCACCTAACACCCCCACACCCCAGCAGGGGAGAGGAGTTCACAACAATCAGGAGGGAATTTGCTCTGCTAGTCTGCTTTTAACAAGTTCCCTGCCCCTCTGTTGCCTTGGAGTTTTGTAAATAAATTAAGTGGAGACTGTCTGGAAACGTATTCTTTTACGAACCACCATAAACAGCACCAAAGTTCATGAAATGTTCATGCCAGGCACCCTTCCACAAACATCACCTTGTGAACCACAAACTGGCCAAAATTCATGATGAACTTTAGTTTGTGAGCCAGTTCGAGCCCATCCCTAGATGTGTGGGTGCAGTTCCTACCCATTCCCACGTCAGTTGCTGTCGCTGCTACGTCAGGGACACATTTTCATTCACCCCATATGGAAGTAGTAGAAAAAATTGTTTCAAAAGGTAATATCAGCCACTAATCGCTGTCACCGGAGAGGATGAAAAGTGGATTTCCAGAACAGTAAGGTGGAAACAACCACCATTTATCTCACTGGTGAAAGTAAAGTTTCCTCACTCCACAAAGTGATAATGGCGGCATTATGTATTTTTCACCTCTATGCTACCATCTGGCTTATTTAACTTGGCCACATTTTTTTGTCCTTGAACACATCCCGCAACAATCCGTTCCACAGACTTTTTCACAAAGCATCCATCATTTTGGAACAGTAGAGAAAGAAAGTAAAACCCCAGAGTCTGGCGAAAGATGTCAAACCTTTGAAGAGAACTGGTTCTCTATTGGGTGTAGAAGTCTGTACCAACTGATTAGCCAGTCTAACTTGCTGAGAAGAACACCGCCGATTCTGGAGCCCTGATTGCCAAATGACAAGCTGGAGCGATTAGTCATGAAGGCTTGTGGTTTTGCATCCAGCACATCTTGTGCTGCAACTGAGGACTGTTGACGTGAGCTGGCTGGGCAGGTGCATAAAGAGGGCAGTTGATTCCCATTGGTTGGACTGTGTGGGGCTAATGAGCCTCTTAGCCTGGTAATTAATATAATGACAAGACTATCCCCAAAGTAAACAGGAGGGGGGGGGGAATCAATGCTTCATGAAAAAGCAAAGCATACTTTCCATTGGCAGCTCTACTCGCCTGTGACTACTTCTCAGCCCTTCCAAGGAGACTTTGCAAACCCTGCTGAAGAAACAGGTTTTTCTTACCTGTTCTTAGTTATGTTTTTCGCCTGAGAGTTGTACACAGTCTTCGACCCTTCTGGTTTTGCTGAGGTAAGAAGAATGATTTAGTAAGGTGAAGGCCCTTGAATGGTGTTTCCCCCCCACCAACTGCTTGTGATAGGGATTTGCAAACAGGTTGGCTTGATCTCTTAAACTAGACATGGATCACAAAAGGATTGTGAGATGTTGTTTTCCAGGTCGCTTGATTCTAATTGGGCAGTTTATTTTAATTGACCTTTGAAATGCTTTCTGGAGATCTCAGATTGGGATAGATAACACAGCACAATCTCTGCTGAAAGGAATGTTAGTATGATAGAAACAGCACTTTCTTGAATTCTATGATGGCCTCCTTTGATAAACTGGTAAATCCCTTTTGACGTCACAGGAGTGGAGAATATAGATAACTGTATCAAACCTTTCTAAACCCAGAATCTAAGACTGGGAGCACAGGCAAGTATGGACATTCACAAGTTAAGTTAGCTCTTTGGCATTGTCATTTTAAAATAATACATGGTTTGAGAGAAAACCCATATTACCATGATCTGCATATTTGCAATTTAAGGACTTCTGAGATAATTAACATTTCCTGTCTTCTATTTGTGTAATTATAACAGTTTGGTCTCCCACATTTGGACTGTTGCCTACTATTTGAATCCTAGGAAAAAGCTGTTGTCTTACATTGTGGATAGGATTTTTCAATTTTGCTGGTCAGTAATTGTAGACTCCTGCCAACCTAGCAGTTCGAAAGCAAGAAATTGCAAGTAGATAAATAGGTACCACTTCGGTGGGAAGGTAACAGCGTTCTGTACGCCTTGGTGTTTAGTCATGCCGGCCACATGACCACGGAAACGTCTTCGGACAGCGCTGGCTCTTCGGCTTTGAAACGGAGATGAGCACTGCAACCCTAGAGTCGGATTCGACTGGCTTTCGAACAAGGGAACCTTTACCTTAATTCTAGACAGAAAACTGTTGAAGTGTCTATGGTACCTGTGCTAGAGATTTTTTTTTAATGAGGACCTACTATGGCTTACACAGTTTACTTGTATGAAGATTTAGCTTAAACAAAAAATGTGTACTCTATTTTGTTAGAAGAATAAATCTGAAAGGGCTGTTTAGTTTTGGGGGCTTTGTAAATACTGAGAACTCCAAAATTATTGCAAAAAAAACTCTTTAAGATTCCTATTTAAGATTTCCAAATATACCTTATACTGAAATAAAACAATCATTTGTTTGACATTTATATTGGCACTAAAGATTCCATTTGATTTTGTTTTAAGATGACAAATATCGGCTGATCATAACTAGCATTTGATTTGATAGAAACACAATTTCAGGTATCCAAAAGGATTTTTTCCCATTCTTAAATGTAACTTTTCCACAAAATGGTTTTATATCAAAATGTTTTGGCATTGAACAAAAGAATAAGCTCATGATTATTTCTCATTTCTATTTTTACTTTACACTTTGAAACCAGATGGGAGACTATACAAATAATTTTTCCTGCTTTGACTTTATTGCCTCTACCTTCTCCATCCCTATATGTCAGGGGGTTGCTCAAGCAATCTCCCCCCCCCCCCCCCCCCCCCCTTTTTACTGTGTTCTGTCCTGCAAACAGAACATGGACTAGGAAGAGTACCAGAAATCAGTTGTGCAACACAAAGGAAAAAGCTTATTACAAACAAACAAAAAGGCCTAAAGCCAATCTTTTCATTGTTTTACTCTCCAAGAGACAGCAACTTACCTGTTGCTCCCAAGCTACCTGTTGGAGACCCGTGCTCTACATGCTTTCAAGCCTTGGCGATTTATTTGACTTTTTGGGTAATTTGAAATGTATTAGTTCCACTGCAACCACCTAACTACCTAACCTCTACAAATGGTCCTGGCAATAAAAATAGGTGGAGACTGACAGAGCCCTGGTTCAGATGAAACCCTACTTTGGGTTTAGCCCTGAAACATTCAGATTTGATCTTGGAGTCTCCAAATCCACCTTACTGTTCTTTTCCATTTCCCTCTGGAGCCAAAAGTCATTTACTCCAACAGCCACCTCTTGGTCTGTAATAAACCCCCCTCCCTTTGTTTAATGTTGCAGGAGGGCTGGAAACAAATTCTCCTTCCAATCAGGCAGCCAAGCAGAACAGCCACTCAGCCATAGATCACAAATCAGCCATGTGGCAGAGACGCCATCCCCAGGAAGCTGGAGGAGACCAGCCAGAGGCCCCTGCCCAGCCAGAGGCCTGGAAGATCCGCTACGAGAAGTCCTGGCTGCACCGACACTGCTCTTCCCTGTTGCGCAGGGACAAGCAGGCTCAGAAAGCTGGACAGCTTTTCTCAGGCCTCCTAGCCATGAACGTGGTGTTTCTAGGCAGTGCCTTCATCTGCAGTATGATTTTTAACAAGGTGGCCATTACTCTGGGAGATGTTTGGATCTTCTTGTCCATCCTCAAGATCCTGGCCTTAGGCTGGATAGCATACTATTTACTGTTCACTAGGCGGAAGCCACATGCAGTCTTGTATCGGGATGGCCACGCAGGGCCAGTCTGGGTTAAGGGTAAGTACTGCCAAGTACCTTCCTTATTCTCCCTGAGTACTTGACATATTGGATCCACGTAGTATCCCTGCTGTACTTAACAGTTAACAGAACCTGTTTTCTTACTGTGCATACAAATGGGTAGGGCTATGCATTAAGTTGGTACATAATAAGAGAGCTTACCAATCAACAGTGCCTTTTGGGGTGACTTGAGATGGGCTCTCTGCCTCGAGATCTCAAGTTTTGCTAACATGGGGTAAGTGTCAACATTCTGAAACAGCCAGGCCATGGTCGATAACCGAACGTGCACATTTCTGACACTGAAATATGACAACATGCATTCTCAACAGTAGGAAAGTGAAGATGGCAATAATTATTTGGCAGGCATCGTGCCAGACCTCACAGTAGAAGCTCACTCATTCACTTGACCCAGGGATGCCTGGTCCCCCCTGGCCACCGGCAGGGGGTGGGCGCTTAGGGTGGCCAGATTGGGGGAACATACAGGGATGGATATTAATACCTACACAGTTGCACAAACAGGAAAAAAAGAAGCTCCGTGGGGCGGTTTGAAGTTGGGGAAAATGGTGTGAAAGGAGGCTTACCCCTACTCCCCCTTCTGTTGTGATCCCAGTATGAACTGGGACACCACACCTACTTTTAAAGTGGGGGGACCATTATTCCATTATTCACAGCACTGGCACACAGTCTAAAAGCAGGACAGATGCGGCTTTTTAACGCACTCCGCTGAACCTCTTTAAAGCAAATGCATATCCCCAAATAGATTAAAATCTTTGCAGCTGGGTTGGCCATGCCCAACAAGTCAACTTGTACCAAGCAGGATTCAAGTTTTCAAGCCTCATTAGAATCTGATTCAAAATTAGGGGCAGTGGAGAGAAAAAGCAGTAAAAACCTGTGCCAGGCATTCATCAAGGTCATTGAGCCAGAATAATGGACATGGAGGTCCCCACAGGAACTGCTGTTCTGAAAATCTACCTTCTCTGCTAATGCCACTCAGCCATGGATGCAGCAGCAGCAGACAGGCAAAATGGTGTCTGCGGCCACCTCCCTACACAAGGGTGCCTCCTTTTCCTGGCTCCCACTTCTTTAAACTGCACCACTTTGGTGCAGTGGTTAAGTGTGCGGACTCTAATCTGGGAGAACCGGGTTTGATTCCCCACTCCTCCACTTGCACCTGCTGATGTGACCTTGGGTCAGTCACAAGCTCTGGCACAGCTGTCCTTGAAAAAGAGCAGTTTGTGTCAGAGTTCTCTCAGCCCCACCCACCTCACAGGGTGTCTGTTGTGGGGAGGGGAAGGGGAAGGAGTTTGTAAGCCGCTCTGAGACTCCAAGTGAAGGCCAGGGTATAAATCCAATCTCTTCTTCTTCTTCTTCTTCTTCTAAAATCCAGGATATCTTCTCCAGCATGCCCCCTCCCACCATGTCAGCTGCACTGATGAATTTCTCTCTGTTGTGCAGTTATTAAAAGACCCAGTACCCAGTCAGAAAGCCTTCTATTTCCATCCCAGCTGTTGGAATCCATTGTGCTATAAAGAGAGACAGTTTTATCTTTGCATGCTAAAGTGACTTCCCATAAAGCCGACTACCTAAGGCCACAACCTATTTCTTACTTGGAGACATAAGCAATGCACTGTGCTAGAAGGAAAGAGATTTTTAGGAAGGTCTAGGAGTGTAGGGGAGAAGCAGCACAATCCTTGGGGAAATCTCTCCCTGAAAAGGAGATTTCCATTTTCCATGTACCATGGCCCATGATTCTCTCTACTCCACATAGCCTCTGCTGCAAATTGCATGTCAACAAACTGGCAAGGGAGCTTCCCATATTAGCCCTGCTCCAAATAGCAGCTTGCGGGTTGCATCCAGACTAAGATTTCCACTGACTGAATGCACTTCTATCAATGGAAGGAAACTTCCCTGAGTCCCCCTCCCCCCCCTCACTGCAGCCCATTGAACTCCCTGAAATGCTGCTCCTGGGGGACAGGAAGGGTATGCAAGGTCAGTGGGGCGCCTGCAGAAGGAAGGGGGAATTGACAGAAATGACGTCTTCCCTTCCATTATGGGGAAATTTACCCTGGACCCAATCCAGCATTTCCTCCCTTGAGCAAGATTCTAGGAAATAGTGCTGTCCTGTCACTTTTGAATTTCAGAGCCCTACCCAATATCATATTTCAACAGTTTAAAGCCAAAGTGCCCTGTCCCCTGACAGTCTTAAAGCAGCCTGAGCCACCCGTATAGTATTAGATCGGGATCGACCACTAGGATGGCACGGAAGTCCGCGCGCCATCTCAGATGTAATGTTAAATTGTTTAAATTGTTAAATTGTTAAATTATTATTGTAGCACCTTTTTTATATATATACTTGTTAATGGCTTTTCACTATAAACTACAAAACTACACACTACAAATGTAGCACCTTTTTAATGTTGTGATTGTTATGGTTTTAGGATTATGCTACTATTTATTGTTGTTTTAAGCTGTTGTAAGCCGCCCTGAGCTGGTCAAGGCTGGGAGGGCGGGGTATAAATGTAATAAATAAATAAATAAATAAAAAGTGTCTTTTTGTAGCCTAATACAGTGGCTGAGACTCTACCCCAAACACATCAGGGTTCAGAAGGATGATGTTGTGGGTGAACATTTGCAGCAACACTGACCCCAGCAGTGTTTAAGACTGAGTAGGGCATGATTTATTAATTTTTAGTTATTGCATGCAAAGACCAGCCCAGACTAGTCCAATGCTGCCAATGTTGTTTGTTAAATTTCTTTTGGGGCTGTGCAATTTCCACCCCAATACACCCCCCTATTATTAATATTTTGCTTTTAATAAGAGTGTTGTCCGTACAGGATCTCTCATGCTGTTTGGAGTGTGCAGCATCCTCCTGAATGTCTTCCGGATAGGATACGACATTATCCACCTTCAGTGCAAATCCCAGCTGGAAATCCTGTTCCCCTGCATAGAAATACCCTTCATCTGTATTCAGGTATTAAATACCCCGTTGGCTCCAGCCAAGCCTCTTATCTACACTGTAGAAAGGAAAGCGATATACCTGCTACTGACAAAAGAGTAGTTCCCATTGGTTGCTTGTTATCCTTAAACAATATTATATTTGCATTTATAATGCTGTTACTACAGTTAAGAGTACAATTATGCAATCATCATTATCATACATATTTCCTGGAGATTTCCTTCATACCTTTATATTTGCAAGGGAAAAAGCATTTGGAGTTTCCACTACCCATTCTTCCTTTTCTGGTTCATTCAACCCGTCCCCTGCCTGTTGCAGCAAGCAATACTCCAGTTCTGCTGTACAGCAGAGATAGTGGGTCGGGGCTGTTTGTGTGTAACACAGGAGAAGCCATGGCTGCTTCATTTTCCAGTGCTGCACTGAATTTAAAGATTCAGGGGGAATGTCCAGATTACAACCTGCCAACCTCCATGTAGGGTTGTACCCAAATATAAAACATGCAAAGGGACACTCTGTTGCCCAACAGCAACAGCAGATGGACCTATTCTCCTGTCAAAACCTTTTATACTGGTGCAGCAGAGTGACTACAGGAGGCTCCTGGTGCAAATCTCACCATTGCTAAAAGTAGGTGGCGTTAGGCAGGTCACATGCAGCTTCAGCCCCACCATCTACAGTGATACTGGCTCATTTTACAGGGGTGTTCCAATTTCAACCAAAGTGAGGACATAACCTTTACAGGGGCATTATAAAGTGAGCGAAGCACTCTGAACACTGGTGGTGGTAGAGAAGGAAGGTGCTGACAAATGACAGCTGATTTTATGGCGACTCTGTAGGGTTTTCAAGGCAAGAGATGGTCAGAGGTGATTTACCATTGCCTGCCTCTGCATTGTGGCCCTGGTCGTCTCCCATCCAAATACTGACTACAGCCGACCCTGCTTAGCTTCAAAAGTCTGATGAGACTGGGCTAACATAGACCATCCAGGTCAGGACACTTTGAACATCATAAGTATTCAAAGATTGTCAGCAGTCATTGTGGTCTATAGAAAGCTTCAAACGTAAGACCAGTCAAGCTCTACAGAACCCTTAATTAGGCTGGATTTTCAGTACTGAAAAAGAGAAAGAGAAAGATGGGGCAGAAAAGAAAAATAAGTAATTTGGGGGAAGTTTGTAGGATCTTAAAAGAGAATGCAGGATGTGTTGCAGACTTCATTAGATAGTGCCAGACCCAAAAACAGGTTTTCAAGTTGCTCCAAAGGTTGTTTGGCCAAAGGGGGAGGAAGGGGGGAAATGGCATTCTCCCTGAGCAGAAAGTATTATTATTACTAAGCTTATACCAAGCCATTAAAAAAACCTTTTTGTTGATTTCAGACTTATTTTATATGGCATCATGCAAAGGACTGTACCCAGGTTCAGCACAACCTCACGAGGTAGGAAAACAGAATCCTCTATGAATCCTGCTCTGGCCTACTTCCCTGCTTTCTGGGTTGGATCCCACAATTCTGTCAGAAGAAAGTGCCGATGGTCTTGAATCTTTTACCCCTACACCCATTCCAACCCTTCAAAAGCTTCCTGGAGCTGCAAGACCTGCAGGGAGGATGGCAACAGACCTGCAGATCAGGGGACTGCAGTGGAAATGTGGAAAGGGGTGAAATCTTCCATCAGCACAGACCCACTCATGCATGAGGCTGGAGGAAGCAATTTCCTTTCTTCTCCCTCCTCACTGCAGCCTCCTGACCTGCACAGACCATGTGGGTCTTTCAGCCTCAAGAATAACATTTTCCTGGTCAGAAATGGCTGCTGGGGGAGAGAAGAGCCAGAAATCTCAGGGATCCTTGTGCAGACAGCAAAATGTCCTTTCTCTGGTTCAAGCCTTCTGGGGTTATTTAAAAAATCAAGCTTGAGATACTTAAGATGTTAAATTTTGCACCCAGCGCCAAATTTCTTACTTGATACGTGTGATCATAGAGCTGGGTCCCTTTACCCTTTTGTTGCTCTTCTTTGGCAACTGAGTGAAAAATGTAAAAATATGAGATACTGGGGTGCTTCCCACCCTAGTTCCTCTGTAAGTGGTAATCAGCTCTATGGCAACAGAGTTTACTAATGTGCCAGTGACAATGTTATAATAGGACAAAGTTAAGAACAACTTCTGTGTCCATTCTGTGACAAGAAAGTGCAACCAGGGCAATCGTTTTTCAGCAGTGGCGGTACAATGGTTCCCAGTTTTGTTACCAACACGCTGCCTCTCTCCTAAAAACTGCATGGAGTACCAGGTCAGAAGGACTAAAAACTGATATTTCAAGAATAGCCTAACAAAGACTACTACCCCATTGCAGTAAAGTATAAAGACAAATTTCTTCTTTGACAGATGTGGGCTGATGCTTACTATGGCCACTAATCTTCTGCTGTGGCTCTTAGCAGTGACCAACGATTCCGTTCACAGGGAAATTGATTCAGAACTTAACAAACTTATGCGGGCATTTGAAGGTAAGGGTCATTCCTCACCTTTTTAGAATAAAAAATGAGTGAACAAGACAGAGGATGTACAAGATTAACACAAAGAAGAACTTGATGCCCCAACCCGTGTACATTTCCACTCCATCCGCTTCTGGGTGTGGTGTTCTGGGAAGAGAAGCAAATTTCAAAGGAGATTTTGTGTAGCAGCAATACATAGTTTTGCAATGCAGGACATCTGTTGTAGGCCTAAATTATCAAGAGAAGCTCCCTCAGCCTGACGCATTTTCCTCTATAGACTCTCTTCCCAGCCCTATAATTTAGTATGTGGAAGAGGAAGAAAATCTGAGTAACTCATCCTTGGTGGGGATTCCAAGAACCACATTCTGGCATCAGCGTAATACAATCCACAGGCTATGCTTGTCCTGGAATCCTCAAAATGTCAGCATAAAACACAGAAGAGATGAGTTCTGGCTAAAGAAGCACCAACTGTCAGGCAATATTTGAGCGGGGTCATGGTCAGGAACAGGTTTTTGCCCCTTCCAAACTGTGGTTAGTGCCAAAACTGGTAGGTTAGAAGGCATCTTGCCCCTGCACACTCAGCATTAGCATACCATAAACCAGGGGTGGCCAAACTTGCTCAGCGTAAGAGCCACATAGAATAAATGTCAGATGTTTGCGAGCCGGAAGACAGAAACAAATACTACACTCACGTTTTAATTTTTTTGTTAAATACGCAAATTTGCTTTTTATTGACATTAAATGAGATTGCCAAAAATAAAAACAAAAGGGGTAAAAACCTATTGATAATGATATTTATTTATTTGCTAATGATATTGATTTGTCTAAGAGAGAGAAAAAGAGAGAGGTGGAAAGAAAGAGAGAGAGAAACAAAGAAAGCAAACAGATGGGAGGGAGGGAGGGAGAAAAAGTATGCCTCCCCTTCGCTTCCCCAGCCGCCCTACCAAGAGCCACACAATATGTGTGAAAGAGCCGCATTTGGCTCCCAAGCCACAGTTTGGCCACCCCTGCCATAAACTGAGAGTCTCTAGGGATATTTAAGGCTAAAAATTAGCTTTTTTTCCTGCACATTTTCTGTGTATAGAAGTTTCCCATAATCCTGCCATGCCCACTGTCTTGCTCCAGGAAACAGGACCAGCTCCTGCAAGTGTCCTAACACAATAGCATGCAAGGTCTTCCAGAGAGGATATATTTTGCTGTATCCCTTCAACACAGAATACTGCTTGATCTCCTGTTCCATGCTCTATGTCATGTGGAAGAATGTGGGCCGGCGCATTACTCAAAACCATGCTGCTCGTTCTAAGCCTAAATTTGAAATCCGTGGCTTAATTTTTGGGCCTCTGCTTGGCATTTCTGCAGTAATCATTGGCATCTGTATTTTCATGCTGTATCAGATCCAAGCCGCCAATTCCTCCCCAAGCTATCATGTGTTCATACTCTATTATTCCTACTACATCACTTTGCTGCCTTTGATGACAGTAGGGGCCCTGGCTGGAACTATCATCCATGGTCTAGAAGAAAGGGAGCTGGACACACTGAAAAATCCAACACGAAGCCTTGATGTGATCTTGCTTATGGGAGCAGCTCTGGGCCAGATTGGCATCTCGTATTTTTCCATTGTAGCCATTGTGGCCATGAACCCAAAGGGTCTGTTGAACAGTATTATCCTAGCCTATTCAGTGTGCCTCATTATTCAGCACATCACCCAGAATATCTTCATCATTGAGGGGCTCCATAGGCAGCCACTGGTGGTAGATGAAGCCTCCATCCATAACCAACATGTCATGCAAGGCTCCACCTCAACCCAGAGCCCACCCAATGAACACATCATAACCTCGCACAGTAGTCAAGAACCTACCCCATCGACAGCCGACAAGGAGATGGAAACAAAAGGAGAGAAGTGTGAAGATAGTCCTTCGAAAGCATATAGCTTAGAGATAAGACAAGAGATCAGAAGAGCTTCTCAAGCCTACGTTCAGAACTGGAAAAGGAAGGCTCTGCAGGAGATCTCCAGCTTCTTGATCATGTGCAACATCATAGTAAGAACTTAACTGTGCACAGAGAAATCGGTGGAAAATGTATCTGATACCATACAAGAAAGATGACATGGGGAGGCAGGAATATATGGGGGAAGCACTTGAGTTTTTTCATTTCATGTAGCTTAAGGTTAGTTACATCAGGCCTTGTGGATGGGAGCTACAAGATTGTTCCAAATAATTCATGGAAAAGTGGGACTTTAAGGAGTGGTGTTCTTGGAGGCAGTTCCAGGCAAAAGGAGCAAAGGGGGAAGGATAGTGCTATTTGAGGAAGCAGGAGATTTTCAGATGGCTGAGAGTGATGGAGTTGAAAGAACAAAGCTCATGAGCAGGGATGCATCAGAATGTCAGAAGTAAGAAATGGACAGGAAGCCAGTGTACCATTTAAGGAGGAGCAAGGCATGCTCAGAATGATAACATGACTGATTCTGGTAGCTGAGTGCTGGACAGGGGGGCAAGGAGGCTGATATGTGACAATAGAAGACTAGACAGGAGGCTACAGTAGTCAAGGCAAGAGAGGAGCAGAGGAAGAGACAGATTTAAGGAGACTAATAGAAAGGGCTGTCTTTTAAAGGAAGAAACAACAGGGTTTGGCAGCAGATTGTATACAGGGAGCAGAGAAGAAAGAAATGTCCCAAAAAATCCCAACCTTCATGCCTGTTCTACAGGGTAGACAACAACATCGACAATGGATATGGAAAATGCACAGGGACTTGGGAGGTTCAGCCCTGGGCATATTCAGTATGAAGAAGATATCTAAACAGAAATAGTAGACAAACAATTAGATATGTGGAGGGAAGGAGGGGAAAGGCTTATGGATAGAGAGACAGAGCACGACATCATCAGCAATATAGGTAGTAAAGAAAGCCCTGGGATTTGTGAAGTCACACTGGGACAGTGTGTAAAGACCAGAGCCAAGGAAAGATTCCTGCAGCAGGACCCCAACAGAGAGAGGGAATGCAGAGAAGGGCTTTCTCCTGTGAAAACAAGGAATGGGTGAGAACCAACTGAGGACATTCATGAACATATAGGATGTAGACAGGTGGGGGTAGAGATCAGGGGTATCAAAGGCAGTGGGGAGGTCAAGGAAAACAAGAACAGAGCAGATTATCAGTGCAGAGAATGGTAGGTTGTAGGAGAAGGCATAGGCGTAATCTTCGTGGGGGCGGCGGGGCTTCAGCCCCCGCCAAAATTTTCAGGAAGGTGCTCAGCCTCCCCCGGGAGCCACCCTTGCTCCTAGCAAAGCAATGCCTCTGGCCCAGCCCCAGCCCCCCTCGGGAAATTGGAAAGTCTACACCCTTGGGAGAAGGGAACTGGAGGAGAGAAAATCTACACAAAAAGAATTAACAACAAGGTTTAAGAGTCTGGAGGCAAAGGGCAGAGGTGATACTGAGTGGTAGTTGGAGAGAGAGATAATGTATTAAGGAGCAGTTTTAAAGAATGGGGGTAAGTGGAATGCTTGAGTGCTACTAGAAAGGAGCCAGCAGAGAGGATAGGCTAATTATGTGATGGCAAGAATCAATGATGGCATAGGAGATGGCAATGAAGACTTAGAAAGGGATAGGATCAAGAGGGCATGCAGGCAACAGGATGAGGTCAACAGGGTGATCTACCACAACATGGATTTGCAAAGGGGAGTACAATAACAAAGTCTGACGGTTGAGCAGCAGTGGAAGGAGAGCCCTCCAAAGGAGAAGGCAGCAGCCATGTCAGATTACAGAATACACAGATTAGATTTGGGATCCCCACCGTGTTCTGTGTAGAAGTCAGACATAAGTTGCAGGCTCTCCTCAGTTCCTGTTTGTGTGGTGCCCAATTCAGATAATGACTTTGGTGCACATGGAGAAAAGGTTTCAGCCCCCCCCCCCCCCGGTTCAGATGTGAAAGTTTGGGGGCACTATTTAGCACACTGGGGAAACCAAATTTGGAGAGGGCAAGTGGGTTGAAGGATGGAGAGAAGAAAAATGATTTTTTTTCCTGTATTCATATTTACCTTTACCTTCCCCCAAAGAGTTTAAAGCAGCATACACATGGTTCTCTCCTCTTCTTGTTTATCCTTATAATAATCCTGCAAAGTCGGTTAGGTTGATAGAGCGACTGGCCCAAGTCACCCAAGTAAGTTTCATGACAAGAGGGGATCTGCACATGGGCCTCCCCAGTCTTAAACCTAACAGGACTACAGGTTATTGGCCCCATATTCAATGCTGTTGGGAATTGGGGGGTTTCCCCCTAGTTCCTCACAGCATTGTGAAGCATTCATGCATCTCTTGCAGTTTCCACTGTCTTCCCCAAACCTGCTTTGCTCCAATGTTTTGGGAAAGATCACAGCATAGCCTGGATGACTGCTCTATGGGTAGAAAAGCTCAGATTTTCCTGGCCTCGCCCACACAGCAGTCATTTCGCCTGCCCCTACCCCCACAACACCCGTTTCCTCACCCACACCTCTGAGGGGCTTTTTTAAAAAATCAGCAGCTGAATATTACAATATGTGTAACAGGTTCTACGAATTTCCAGCTTTTGGTTTTTTAAAACCATTCATTGTGCAGATATAAGGGGAAAAACATATCTCTGCAATGAAAGGGGCTAGACTAGAGGTGTCAAACTCATTTGTTACGATGGCCAGATTTATTGGGCCGGCCATGTGTGCCATAAAACATAATGTCAGCTACTGGAGATATAAACTGTATAAAGGACAGCAGCTGGTAAGCTCCAAGTTGTTATATCCACACTGCAAGGCCCCATGGGCTGGGAGGGGGGTACAAAGGAAAACTCATGTAGGAGGACTGGAGAGCCAGAGGTAGGGTTGCCAGCCTCCAGGTGGGGCCTGGAGAGCTCCCGCTTTTACAACTGATCTCCAGCTGACAGAGATCAGCTCCCCTGGAGAAAATGGCTGCTTTGAAGGGTGGACTCTATGGCACTGTACCATGCTGAGGCCCTTCCCCAAACCCTGCCCTCTCCCGGATCCACCCCCAAAGTCTCCAGGTATTTTCCAACCCAGACCTGGCAGCCCTAGCCAGAGGTGCAACACTGGGCAGACACTCCCACTGCTTGACTCCTGCAGACGAGGTTGGTCCACCATGCTGAAGCCTCAGTTGGAGTGGCTCTGTCCACTCTCCCCCCCCCCAAGCATTCTCCTGTTCACTCCCTTGCACTCGTTGGCTCATGAACTGCGTAAGAGCCCTGGATGGGCCGATTCCAGCACCCGGGCCTTATGTTTGACAACCCTGGGGTAGACCCTTTTTAAAAAAAATAAAAATAAATGCTGGTAATTTACAGCAACTGTTATACATTTTGTTATAACCAGGGCTATTTTGGGGCAGGAACGCACAGGAACGGAGTTCCGGCTGGCTCCCAATTTGGCCACACCCAGCAGGAACTCATTAGCATAATAGGCCACACCCAACAGCAGAAACTCATTAGGATGGGCTACATTAGGGGTGTGTGGCCTAACATGCAAAGGAGTTCCTGCTCCAAAAAAAGACCCTGGGTTTGGACAACAAAAGGTAAACAATAACAAGCAAAAGGTGGGTGTGGCTGGATGACCACACTTCTGGTAACATGGGGGTGTGGCCTAATGTGCTAATGAGCTGTGCTGGCAGGGGTGTGGCCTAATATGCTAATAGGTTTCTGGTGTTTGGTGTGGCCTATTATGCTAATGAGTTCCTGCTGGGCTTTTTCTACAAAAAGAGCCCTGGATAACATTATATCAACATAATTATACTTAACTGCTGATATTTTTAAAAACTGAAAAAGTCCTACTGGTGCAGGGGGGGGCAGGGAATGTCAGCTGTTGGGGAAACGAGCGTAGAGAAACTATAGGAAAACCTTCCATGTGGAAGCCCACTTGCCCCTGGCCTGTATTGGCAGCTGCACCAACAAACTACATACACATGTCTCTGCATGGAAAACAGCTACAACACACAGCCTCTCTAGACTATGGAGGGTGGGTCCTATCTGTGCGAGAGGATGGCAGTTCCAAAAAGAGCAGAAATGCAAGGAAGTAAGGAATGGGGATAAGAGATAAGAGTGGGTTTTATGATACTGGAAACAGGCTCCAAAAGGCTGAGAAACAAGGGCAAAGAGTGGAAAGACTGAAAGAGGAATTTGGCAGGGGATAGGCACCAGGAACTGCAGTTATCAGAAAGCATGGGCTGGCCAAATATAGACAAAGAGCTGGTGTCTTTTGGCCTTATCTCATTTCCCATACATGAATGGTGCTGAGATTGCTCTACTCTTTAGTTCAGGGGTGTCAAACCTATGGCTCACAGGATGCCCAGGCCTTTAATCCAGCCTGGCAATGGGCTCTCTTCTCTCCCCCTCCTAGGGCTGCCAAGTGGGGGCGGGGGGCGGGGAAACCCCCACTTTGGAGGCCTGATTTCCGCCACGGCGGAATCGGGCCCTGGGGGGAATTCCGCCCCCCGAAGCTGAGGTGACGCAGCCACGTCGCTCACGTTGGGGGCCTGGCCCAGATCGTCGGGGGGGAAACCATATGGTTTCCCCCCCC